AAATTGAAAAGTTTGAAACTCATAAGTCCGAATCGAGGTGTGAATTATAATTTTAATGTTGTTTGACGTGATTTGAAATCTTGAGTAAGTCCATATTATGTTTCGGGACTTGTTGGAATATTCAGACGAGGTCCCGAGGGGCTCGGTTAAGTTTCGGGGTGGGTTCGGACCATTTCTAGGTCATTTTTAGCTGCTGGTTTTTGGCTACAATAGTGTGCTATGCGATAGCGGGAAATTGTCCGCGATCGCGATGAGTAAAATGGGAGAAATTGACCAGTGCTTCGCGATCGCGGATGACCTTTCGCGATCGCGCAGAGGAAACTTCTGCTGCACTGACCCGACTTTGGAACCTTATATCTCGCAATCTATAAGGAATTTAAAAATGATCCAAAAATGAAAGTTGTAGCTCTTTGTGTCTAGTTTTCATAAAAGTAAACCATTTAGAATTTGGAGTTATGTACAAAAGGTTATGGTTAGTATACTATAGGATGTCCGAGAAGATATTTGGAAATCGCGAAGAAGAAATTTGTATTGCACATGACTGACTTTGAAAGCTTATATATCGAAATCTATAAGGAATTGGAAAATGACTAAAACATGAAAGTTGTAGATCTTGATGTCTAGTTTTCATAAAAATAAACCATTTATTATTTGGAGTTTATTACGAAAGGTTATGACCATTATACTAGAAGTTGTCCGGAAGAGTTAGAGAAAGTTGTTGGAAAAATTGTTCTTCGCGATCGCGGGAGAATGGCCGCGATCGCAATGAGTAAACAATGCTGGAAATATTTTTGTGCTTCGCGATCGCGGGAGTTTGGCCACGATCGTATAGGGTAAATGACTGGGCAAAAGAACTTTAAGTCTGAAAATGGGATTTTGTCCCATTTTTCACTTCTCACGATTTTGAGCTCGGGTAAGACGATTTTTGGGTGATTTTTACGAAAAATATTGGGGTAAGTGTTCCTTATCCTATATTGATTATATTCATGATTTCATACTCATTTACATCATGAATCCGTAAATTTATGGAAGAAAAATCAGATTTTTATAAAATATTCTAAAAATATAAAATGAAGATTTGAAGGTCAATCCAATGTCGGAATTCGATAATTTTTATATGGTTGAACTCGTATCGGAACGGGTGTTCGGATTTCGTAAATTTTTTCGAGATTCGAGACGTGGTCCCCATTGATGATTTTTGAGATGTATTTCGAATTTTAATCTGAAAAATTAGTAAATTCATATGGAATTAATTCCTACGCTTTGTATTGAGTATATTGAATTGTTTATGATTATGACTAGATTTGAGGACTTCAGACACGAATTCGCGAGGCAAAGGTTTATTGAAATCTTGAATTTGGTTGCAAAGCGAGGTAAGTGTCGTGGTTAACCTTGACTTGAGGGAGTAGGTCTTATTTGTCTATTTGCTACGTGATTTAATGTGTGTGTACAACGTATATGTGAGATGATGAGTACTTATGCATTGTGGTTGAGTCAAAGCATGCGAGTGGAATTTGTTTATTGTGAATAATTACATATTTAATTAAGATATTCCTGCTTAAGTTTATTATTGATTATTTGATCATTATTCGTGAAATTATTATTTATTTAATTATTGTTGAATATTTTGGAAGGTGAAATCGGTATTGTGGTATTGAATTAATTGATAAGTGTATATCCCCGCATTTAAATGCTCTTCCGAATTTATATTATTATTTTCATGGTGAAGAAGAGTGTAAAAGCACGAAGGATGATGCCGTGCTATTTTTATTATTTATAATATCATTGTCATGGTAAGGAAGAGTGTAAAAGCACGAAAGGTGTTGTCGTGCCATTTGTGAGTGTAAAAGTACGAATGGGTGATGCCGTGTCACTTTGAGAGAGTGTAAAAGCACGAAGGGTGATACTGTGCCAAAAGAGAGTTAAAGTACGAAGGGTGATGCCGTGCCAATTATTATTATTATTATTATTATTATTATTATTATTATTATTATTATTTATTTATTTATTTATCAGTTTATAGGAGGAATGAGAGTAAAAGCATGAAGGGTGGTGCCGTGCCATTTTCATATCATCAGTTGCTCATTTTATTGTTGAGGAATTATTTGGCTACTAAGTGATAAAGTGTTATTTATTATTTTATTGTTGCTTCGTATTTGTGTACAGGTTATTTACGTACGTGTCCTGTCATAGCCTCGTCACTACTTCGTCGAGTTTAGGCTCGACACTTACGGAGTACATGGGGTCGGTTGTACTCATACTACACTCTGCACTTCTTGTGCAGATTTTGGAGTTGGTCCCAGTAGCGTACCATAGACGTGCTCAGACTCAGCTACTCAGAGGAGACTTGAGGTATAACTACACAACGTTAGCAGTTCTAAAGTCCCCTACTATCTCATCTCAGTTGTGTATTATCTTTCAAACAGCTTGAATTTTATTCAGACCTTTATTTGTATTATTCTAATAGCTCGTTCACTTGTGACACCAGATTCAGGGATGTATTTTAATAATTTGGTATTTATGGTCTTTCGCACTTTATTTCAGTAATTGACTTCTATTTAATTAAATTTGCTTAAAAATAGTTAAGATTATTTTAACGTTGGCTTACCTAGCAAGTGAAATGTTAGGCGCCATCATGATCCCGAAGGTGAGAATTTCGGGTCGTGACAAAAGCTAATTCCCAAGTTCAATACGAAAAGGAGTAGGATTTCCAATCTCCCAAAATTATTAGTAATCACAATTCACAGCAAATTCGCTTCCATCAAGAATGAGTCTACAAGGAAAAATAATTTAAAAAATAAGGGAAAAATTCCTATTCTACAAGGAAAATAATTAAAAATATAATAGCCTTTTCTTTTTTTGCTATTTCTTCATAGGTTGTTTTGAACTTGTTTCTTAGTGCTACATGGGAAGTAAATTTATCTATTCAGTCCCCCGGCTTCAATAACAAACTCTTACTCCTCGATCTTGGACTAATCCGTTTGCAGGAAAGAAATTCCTACCAAAAAAGGAAAATAAATTGTTACTTTTTGAAAAGAAATACTAAAACAACCTGAGAAAGGAAATAAGAAGTAATACTTTTATTAGAATGAAACAAGAAATAAAGTTGAAATGCTCTATTTTTCTGTCAACACCCTTTTAGCGTAACTTGGTCAAACTTTGGCTCATTAAACGTGTAATGAACAAATCTAGTTGAAAAACAGAAAATTAAAACTGGTCAATTGCAAAGCTAATTTTTTAATCTTATATCCTACTTTTTTTCCCCAGTTATTGAATATTCTAATATTAATTATCCAATAAATGGCTAGTTATTTTGAAGAAAAGAAATGAAATTCTTTAGGAGAAACTTTTCGTTTTGTTTTCTCAGCAAGCTCGTCTCAAATATACAATCAATTAAAATTAGACCGAGTGTCCCTCAGTCGATCGGACATCAACTTATCTTTGTTATTCCATTAAGTTAAACTGATAATATAATTTTTATGAATACTTTAGTTAAAACAGTCGTTTCGATATCCACATTAGGCAAAAAAAATAAAATAATAATTCGGTTACTTTGGCAGCAAGAAACATAGTCAAAAACGTATTAAATGCATATAATACTATGACGTAAATCACGATTTGTTAAACACCGCCCTGAGCAAAAGATATGTATAATTATATCCGCTATATAATTAAACGAAAGAAAAAATTTAAAGGAGAACTCGCTAGTAATTTCCAAGGATCATTAAAGAAAGGAACGAAAATAAATGTGCATGATCAGACGAAAGTTATTTTCTTTACGATTATACCAACATTAATTCCATAACACTTGCTCAATAATATGAAATTATTATTAATTTTTAATAGTTGAAAATTTCATCAAAACACCATCTCATTTACTAATAATATTATTTTTTATCTTTAAAATTTATTCTTTTCAAATATAATTTTTATTCATCAAACGCCAGAAAATATTTTTCTATTAAAAATATGTACCTAAAAAACGTCATTCGTTGAGCAATAACTTCCATCATATCAAGCATAACATTTATTGTTTGTTTTAAAGTATAACAAAGGCCAAATGACACGGAAAGACTAATAGTACTCACCTACTTCTTATTTATTTATTTATTTATTTATTGTCATATTTGACTTGGAGGAAAGCTCGATGAAAGCACTTTCCTATATTTTTATAATTAAAGCTGAGCAATGAACATTACGTAATATGAAAGACGTAAGATTATATGAAAATTTCTGTGATATTGCAAGTGATCTATATCAGAAAACTTAAAGAACTAGACTATACGTTTTGGTATAATTAATTATAAGGTGGTGTTGGAATTAGTCAATAAACAATTTTGTCATTAGATCCTTTGCCCTTGTCCATCTATAAATATTTCAAATCCAACTCTTTCCTACCTCTCCTTGATCCTAACTAAAGCTATAGTACTATATCAAGAATCTCAAGCAATTAAAAGGGTAAGTTTCTTCCCTTTTTTGTTTTACTTCTTGTTGCTTTTCACAATTTAATAAATCTTTTGGCTGATAATCCTTTCATCTTTCCATCTTCTATTTCTTCACAATTTCCCACCAACAATTTTCTCACCAGATATTTTTTTTCCTAGTAGATGGGTGTTTGATTAAAGTTAAAAGCTGGTCAAATTAACTTATAAATATTCAAAGTGCTTATAAGTCAAGTTCACCTATAAGTTATAAACTGGTCATCCAACTTATGACTTTTCAGCTTATAAACACTTTCAGTTTGACTAGAATTTTACTATGTTATCATTAATAATATTGTTTAATTCACAAAATATCTTTCCCAAAATAAATTTTTTAATTTTCTCTTCATTCCATATTCATTGTTCCTCCTTTTCTTTACGATTTGTTTTTAATTTATAATATTTTGTAAAACTTTACGGGTATTTTTGTCAATTTAATAAAAGAATCTTATCATTAGGTTTACCTCAAAAAATCAACTGCTTAGTATTAATATCAACACTTTTATCCAAACACATAATTTCTTATTTATAAAATTAATTTCAGCACTTAAAAATATTTTTTAATATTTCAAACCTATCTAACTATTTATCATCAACTAAATCAAACGATCTCATTATTTCACGCATAAAAGCGGAAAGTCTTTCTTTTGTCCTGTCTTTCTTTTAGGCTGTCTTTATCATTTTTCTTGGGAAAAAGAAAATATGGACTTTGACTTGTTAATATTGCAGAGGAAAAAAAGGCTGTGTACGAAAATTAAATGTTTATGAGAGAATTTCAAGAATATATAGAGGTTTGTCAAAGCAGGACAAGCAAATAGTAGTAGTTTTAATTCGACTATTGGATATAACATCTTTATTGTTCTTTTATTTTTAGTTATTATTTTCCTTTTCTTGCCACCAGGATTATTTGGAAAAAACACCAAACCAAGAAGGTACATGTTTGCTGCTAGAAATAAATCGATGGCATATTCTTTGGTTTCTCCAAACACCTTTGCTCTCAAGCTAAAAATACACTGCAAGGTTTGTGAAAGGAAAGTGAGAAACATGCTGCTGAAAATCCAAGGTGTCCATTCAGTGAAAATTGATGAAAAACTTGGAAATGTAATTATTTCAGGCACAGTTGATTCTGCAACAATTCTAACCATATTAGAAAAACTTGGAAGAAAAGCAGAACTCCTATGGGAGCAAGGAACTCCTGTAAACAACAGCGCGAAAAATGTTCAGATTATCACACAATCAAAAGTGATTAATCCGTTGAATGATCCGGACATTATGACACAACTAGAGCAATTGTCTGGAATTCCAGGATTGCAAACTGTTGAGGTTACAAAAACTATTAAGTTAACATTTCACGGAGAATCAAGAAATGACTCTGCTGATAAAATCTTGGAGATTAGTACTACAAACAATATGAATAAACCTCATCAGCAAGTGCTTTCACATGATCATTATTCCGATGGTGGTGGATTTTGCGCTGCTTCTTCATCATGTTGTGGTGGTCATGCTGCTATAAGCAGTGGCGGAGCCAGAATTTTTACCCCTTGGGGTGGGGTGCGGCCCCTCAATTCTCAACCTCTGCCTATGACAGCACCACCGTGGTCGACTACTGATACTATTCCATCAGCCCCTACTTTGCCATCCGAGTATTTTCAGGCACCGACATCTCCACCATCATCATCCTCGCCAAAGCCTTACACCTATTACAGTGTCCTAAGCGACGAGAATGCCAATGGCTGCATAATCCAATGATTTGCTGCGTAATATGTGTGTGCGCGCGTGTGTATGTGTTTTTCATATCAATTTATGGTTAAGGTACAATTGTTACAAGAAAAAAACCCCCCCAAAAAAAAGAAAAAGTAAAAGGTAGAGGAAATACAGAAAGTAGTACTTCTAGTAGTTCATATAAAATCTGTGATTGTGATAGATCTATTGTTCAACTGCTGTTGTAACTACTTTGTAAAGTTTGCTCATCATTGTGTGAAGTTAACATGTATTCAGATATAAATCCTTGATCAGTTCCATTAATGCATGTTTCTATTAAAGCAATTTATCAACTCTAGTAATTTGAGGTTTTATTCTTATGTACAATCTTGGCCTCGTCACTATTCTACCGAGGTTTAGACTTGATATTTATTGGGTACCATTGTAGTGTGCTCATGCTACACTTATGTATATTTTTATGCAGATCCAGGTATTCTGATTGTGTTGTTGAGAGTTGTGTTTGCACGGCGGGAGACTTCAAGGTATACATGTTTGATGTCCGCAGGCCTCGGAGTCACCATCTTACTTCATTATGCTATTGTTTAAATTGTAATTCAAATCAGTATTGTGTTTAGAAATTCTAGTGTGTTTTAGTAGTGCTTATGACTCCGTACTACTGGTTTTGGAAAATATATAAATATTGGCTGCTTGCGGCTATGTATGTCATTTAATGATTTATGATAAATGATTAAATAGTTCAATTCTGTTATTAAATTAGCATGTGTTAGGCTTACCTAGTTTTAGAGACTAGGTGCCATCACGACATCCTAAGGTGGAAAATTGTGATCATGACAGTTTGTGCGTTGCACGAGAAATGCACGCTGATAGTAATAAACATTCAATTGCATATACTATTGAATATGTACAAAGTACGAAATTAGTCACTTAAAATAAATAAAAAATACAATATATCATACAAGCCAGGTCATGTATAATGTTTTGACATTATATAGGAAGAAAAATTAAAACTAAACATTCTGGAATCACAAAGTTATGTGATTAAAGTTGTAAAATAAATT